GGTCAAGTTAATTTATTTTTATTACCTATGTTAAAACGAGATTTTATTGGACGTCTAGCTTCGTATGGTCTTGAACATGTTGCAGAGAAAATTCTTGGATATTTAGATGATCAATCATTAAAATCCACCGAACTTGTTTGTCATGAATGGTATCATGTTATATCTGAAGGTTAGTGTAAAGAAATTTAATAGAAAGAAGAAGAAGAAAAAATGATTTAAATAGGTATGCTATGGAAGAAATTAATCGAACGAAAATTTCTTTCAAATTCTTTGTGGCGTGGTTTAGCTGATCGTCGTGGTTGGACTAAATATCTCTTTCGACAATTGATAATTAATGGTGATAAACCTAAACGTCATGAATTTTATCGTCAATTATATCCTCAAATAATACGTGATATTGAACAATTGGAAAACAATTGGCGTACAGGAAATTTTCAATTAGAAAAAATTCAATGTCGTTCACAAAATAGCAAAGGTGTTTATTGTTTACAATATGATGATGAAAAAATAGTTAGTGGTCTTCGTGATAATACAATTAAAATTTGGGATAGAAAAACTATGGAATGTATTAAAGTTTTAACAGGACATAATGGAAGTGTTTTATGTTTACAATATGATGAAAAAGTTATTGTTACTGGTTCATCGGATTCAACTGTTCGTGTTTGGAATGTTAAAACTGGTGAATTATTAAATACACTATTACATCATTGTGAAGCTGTACTTCATCTTCGATTTATAAATGGTACAATGGTTACATGTTCAAAAGATCGTTCTATTGCTGTTTGGCAAATGAATTCACCAGCTGATATAACGATACGTCGTGTACTTGTTGGACATCGTGCCGCTGTTAATGTAGTAGATTTCGATGATAAATATATTGTTAGTGCAAGTGGTGATCGAACAATAAAAGTTTGGGTATGAATATTTAAATTTGATTAAAGTTTTTTTATTTTAATATTTTTATAGGATACGACAACCTGTGAATTTGTTCGAACACTTCTAGGCCATCGAAGAGGTATTGCTTGTCTACAGTATCGTGATAAAATTGTTGTTAGTGGATCATCAGATAATACTATACGAGTAAGTTATCAATTCTTTAAGTTCAATTGGAAATATTTTAATTGCACATATTCATTCTTATGAATAGAACTTTTAATTATATTGTGTTCCTGTCACCATTCTATCCTTGACACTTTCCGGTTAAATAATGATAGACTTATTTCATGCTTTTTCTATTCTTAGGTTTGGGACATTGAATGTGGCGCTTGTCTACGTGTACTTGAAGGACACGATGAACTTGTTCGTTGTATTCGTTTCGATTCTAAACGTATTGTTTCGGGTGCTTATGATGGTAAATTAGATTTTTATTGATAAAATTCATACTTTACATTTTATTTCTATTAATAATGTTAGGTAAAATTAAAATTTGGGATCTGCAAGCTGCACTTGATCCACGTTCTCAAACAGCATCACTTTGTATAAAAACTTTAACTGAACATACAGGACGTGTATTTCGTTTACAATTTGATGAATTTCAAATCGTTTCAAGTTCACATGATGATACAATACTTTGTTTTAATTTTCTTCAGGCAGAATCACATGTTCTGAGTATATGTCAAACACAAGCCACAAATTTTACTCCGTCAACGACGATGATAGAATCATCTAATAATGAAAATTCAAATGAAATACCATCGAATATATTTCAAAGTCAAGCTTCTGTTCAATCAATAATGTCATCATCATCCAGCTCGGGAAAATGAAATATCCGTTTACATGCGCGAATTTTTTTGAATATAGAATCCGTTCTTTTCGAATCTCGCGCAATGTTTTGTCTGTTTTTTTTGTCTTTGAATATCCCTATGTGTCTGATATCTCTTTCTTTTTTGTCTTTTGTCGATATATATGTATTCAATCGAGAAATAGAAACATGTATGTTCTGTTATTTTTGATGAAGATAAGTTTATATACACTTCGACGTAAATTCATTTTTCACCATTTGTATCAAAATGATACTTTGCTGTTACAATCATAAAAAGAGCGTTCAGTGTATGTTATACATATAACGAAAACGAAGAGTACTGAAAATGTTTGTGATAACATTGATTTCAATGTGATATGATTTAATTCACATAAATAATTTCAGTATATGATTAATAAAATAAAATAAAATTTATGGAAGTACATAGATTTCTTTCTTTGAATCTACCGCTGTTTGAAGTACTACTATGAATAGTATACAAGAGTGTATATGAAGATATTAAACTTTTGATTTATAATAAAAATATTTTATCAAAATCTAAAACCACTTTTGTAAATGTGATTGAATTTCCATGGAAATATCCATACACATTACGTTACCACTTAATTTGTTTTTATTATAAGCAAAGAAAGTTGTAAATAGATTTGTGTTATCACACGAAGGCATGATGACGACGTCATATTTACTTATACCAGCGTACATTGTTCTCAATATCCTCGAACAACTTGAAGAGCTGGTGTAACTTTCCATTTGAATATCAACACAAAATACTAAGATATCTTTATTAAATGTACTAGAATAAATATATCTTTTAAAGTGAACGAAACGAAGCCAATGGAAATGACTTTTTAATTGTCGCAACAGTAAACACGATACAGTTGCGGTCTCGTTCAAGAGAATAAAATAAAACGATATCATAAGATATGATTGGATACACAATCTTTCGGTCTTTTCCATACATTTAGTGATTCAGAGTATGATCCATAGAATAATATGCAAACCATAAATAACATTTATATAGTAATTACTTGTATATAGATTGATAACTAAAATTTTTTTCATTTTATATTGTTTTTGTTTTAAGATAAAAGAAAAAAATGCCTGACGTATCTGATCGATGTCAACATGAATTATGTTGTTTACAAGAATCTAATTCTGCATCAATACGCTTATATTTATGTTCACATCATTGTGGGAAAATGTTATGCCTTAAACATTTATTTGAACATGATGAATACATTGAAAAACAAATACAACATCAAGATAAACTAAAAGTTTTACGAAATTCCTGTTTTCAAATATTCAATGATGTAATTCGGACAGAAATGAAAAGTTTAAATGAAAAAATTCAATATCATCATAAATTAATTGAATATATTGATAGTTTATTATCAATTAATTATTTGGATGAGTCAATGAATAAGAATGAAAAACTTCAAGCCGCTATTAAAGTAGTACAAAAGGTTATTGCACAAGAAAATCGATCAAGATCAATAGCTTGTAAGTTATTTTATTTAAAAGAAAAACAAATAGAATAACTGCTGATTAACTGATATCGATCCAAAAATTGAATCAGTAATAAATGATTAAGCAGTAAATTAACTGACTATCGATTATGGTAAATTATCATAAATAATAGAGGACCTTAAAATCGTTCGATCAATTTTTTTCTGCTTTCGTAAACATTAATAAGAATCTAACTAGTGATTTATACAAAGAATTTTATTTTCAACATGAAAATAGCTACCCAAATCGAGTTTTTCGATAATCACGCTTATTTCACTTAGAAGAAGAAGAACAAAGTAATATTTCGTTCCAAAAGACTGAAATACATTTTTTCTCGCTCCAAATGAACGAAAGTACGAATTGATTTGGTGTCGACATATATCGTTTACTAGCAAATCGTTAAGAATTCAAATCAATAAAACTAGCGTGAGCATCACTGAAGAAATATCCATTTTCGTTTTGATAACGTTCAAAATCTTGCTTTTGAGTTTATTGTCAGTTTTAATGAAGAAATAGTTGAAAATACCATTCTCCATAGTCAAAGAACTGTAAATACCTTGAGAATAGCTGATCATTTTTTCAAAGAAAATTTGGAACCTAAATTAATCGACTATGACCTTGATCTTGATAGCATCGGCGATTACATACTCATGAAAACTACTGTTGGATAGTTACAAGTATTGTTAAAATATTCAAAAAAATAAAATCTATGTAACTCTGACGTAGGCGACATTTTCAAGTATGATGTTTTCCCTTTGACTTCTAAACTATCTATCCTATACTGTATTTATCATTTTTGTTATTATCTTATTGCAATAGTGATTTATTGCTGATCATTACTTATGCCTTCTATAACTTTCGACTTTTCTCGACTTTATTAGTAGTAATAAAGACGAAAAAAATTGAAACTTATAAAGGTAAATAATAAAGTAACAAGTAATTAATTCATATTTCGTTGATAATACAACAAAAAGCGAATTACTGTAAACAGCAGTAGCAATTGTTACTCAATATCCATTAATACTAATAATAAGTAATAGTAATTTAGCATTCCAGAAGATACACAAATGCATGATAGGGAAATTTTAATGAGTTCTAACAATACTTGACAGATTTATTTTATTATAAATAATGATTTTGTTCGTTTTAATAAAGATGCAACATCAGATGGTGGCCAGAACAATAATACCAACGTTTCAACTACAGATAATGGTATATAGCTTTTGTTCTAACATTTTCTAATAGATAATATTTGATATTAATATTTAGGCGTAGGTTCTGAAGTTGCAAATAATAACGAGACCGGTGCACGACCATTTGAGATGAAGAATCAAATGCGTACGTTAACTATTATATTTCGACATAAGTCAATTAAAATTTTTGTTTTATATTTTTTATTTTAAAAGGTAAAATGACCACTACTGATTTACTGACATCTGAAATTTTGGTTTTTTCAAGTGATAGTCTCAATGGAAAGGGTACGTTTAATTAGTCCTTATTATAGTAATTTATGATACGAATATTGTCTGATATATAATTTCAATTTAGATCCAACTATTAGTTCAGAAAGTAGTTGGAATAGTGATTATGACGCTGGTGCAGTTGGTGATAATAAACACGGAGGTTTGTTCAGGAATTTTTAATATTCATTTTTTCTTATTTAAATAAAATATTATGAATAGGGGCAATATTATCCAGCAGTAGTAAAAATCTTTGTACGGGTAGTCAATGCGATCAGACAAAGTCTGTTTGTAAACAACCGTCTGAGATGAAAGCAACAGGTGAGATATATTTTCATTGACTCAATCGAATATATATATTTTTTTTGTTATACAGCTTCACCATCTGCTGAGTTACCAATAGCTCAAAATATGTCGCCTCTCAATCAAGAGGCTTTTCAAGAACCGGAAAGTACTAGTTCTATAGAAGATACGCATAATATAAAAGAACCAAGTGCTACCAAAATCGATAATCAGCGAAGTGGAGAAAGTTGTTATTAAGCCAAGGTCCTTTAATTTACATTAATCAAACAATAAAAACTGCGTTTTCTTTTTAACTTGTTAGCAATCTATTCTCGGTTCTTTTTCTTTATTCCATTTGAAACTATGCTATTGCAGATATCGTTGTGTTATTTCATTTCTTTTCTTTTTTGTTGTTGTTCTGTTTTTGATACGGAAGATAATCGTTCGTATCAGAGACCGGTGATATTGCAAAAACTTGATACCGTACCATACCGCTAATTTTTTTCAATGCTGTACCGTAATGTTACCGCATAAATTCATCGTATACCGTCTCACGAAATATAGTCCCGTCAGATCAATTTTTCTAGCTTGTTTTGAAATCGGCTATGATCTGTTTTATTTCATAAATAAACTACATTTTCGAAGAATGTTAACAACAAATACAAACTATGAGCAGATCAATAAAAACAATTTCATATATAAATAAACAATATTTAAATATACAAAAAAACCATTCATCATCACTGAAACGAATAAAAAGATTGTAAAAAAAAGAACATTATTTAGCTGAACAGGTTTTATGCTGGTTCGACGTTTTGTAGCAATATTTTCAGCAGCACTGAACGATCTTTCAACACATGTAGACGTTGCTGGTACACTAAATATTTGATGAGCGACTTGAGGATGTGGGTATGTGCAGGTATCATGTTCTGCCCACGTCCACCCACTCACACGCTGAATTTTTAGAAATAAATAATAATTCTTTTCTCGCTTTTTTATTGATTAGGTCTTCGTTATCAACGTTCATTAACAAATCAAGAATATCTTTTTAAAGGTTTTCCAACTATTCGTCATTGTGTATGTTCTGTTGATGTTATTGATGAACTACCTATTCTTAATGTTGAATATCTTTTAGTCAATGATATTGAAGTAGATTTTATTTGTTAATCAACAACATACAATGCACAAGTTTATCGAGGAGAAGAGTACGTATGAAAAATATTGACTAAATTTAATTTCATTTATTAGTTTATAGTTTGTTCTTAACACTTGGCTTCATTAACTCATCATCAGAATGTGATATCAATAGTTTAGAAATTCAAATTTTTTCATATGGTCTTAATATGACAGGTTTATATCTGTATAAAAGTAAGTAGTTAATCTTTATTTGAATTATTTTTAGAATGTATTAAAACTACAGAATTCGATTTACCGATATTGATGAGTAAAACTATAAAACCAAAAATAGATCTTAGTGAAACTTATGATCGTTGTCTTTTGCGACAGGATCGATCAACAACAAATAATGAACTTCGTTTGAATTATTCTAATGAAGTACCAAATACAAATAGTTATTATCGACGAAATACAATTGAACTTCATCTTGATTATTTATCATCTATAATATTTCAAATAAATGATATACAAAATGATGAAGTGTAAAATATATATTCAAATTTTATTCATAGCGATTTGTCATATCTTATTTGTTGTAAATTGATAGTCATCTATGACAAAAAATTACATTTGATAATAGTACAGTAAAATCAATGGAACCATCATTAATAATAATAAAACAAAATACATTTCCATCGGATTTACATCAATTAATTGCTGATATTCGAACCCAATTACCGACACATATTCATTATGAAACTACTACTTCAGTTAGTATTTTAGTCAATTTATTTACAGCTGTTCGATCGTAATCATAATTATAACAGAGTCAAATATTTGAGCTGAAAATTGATAAAATGATATTCTCTCCTTTCACTTCTCAATAAAACTAGTTTTTTTTTCTATTTAATCATATGCATAGAAAGTGACCAAGATCAATCCAAGAAAAAAAATCGAATTAGTATTTTGTTTATTTTTATAAATAGAATAAACATCTTCGTTTACCTATTAATTCGCAATATTTTTTCAATAACAAAATTCAAAATCAGGTAAAACCAGCATGACTTTAGCAATTAACATGACCGCATACAATAAATAACTTTTTTCTTTTTCGCCTATTCTGCATGGCATCTACTAATCATCTCTCATGCTAACTCGTTTCGCACCATTAATACGCAATAGCTGGTAACTATGTTCTATCGATGTCAGATCAATCCATGAGAAAAAATACATGACAGAAACACGAATAACACTTTGAAATTATATACTACCGCATATCCTTCAGTTCAGAGCACAGTTTAAATAAGAACCAACATATTACGATCATTTTATAGTAAAAGGCGTAAAAAAACATCTACATTTTAGTAAACATAGTTTCATAACAATCAAACAACTTTCTTGTCCTTTTTAAGTCATCCATACAATGAAATTCGAATAAGACGATAAACATATTCTTCTAGTTGAACATGACAGTATCTTCATCACTAACATTTATGATTTAGCTAATCGTTTATTCATCTGAATTAGATCTCTCACAATATTTAGCACATTCTTCTCGATTTTATTGTCGTGAAGATAAAATGTAGTGAGTGTCTGTGTGAAAAATTGTAAATATTTGTATGAAATAATTGAAGAGAAAACGAGATTTACTGTGTTATTTCTTAACGAATCAGCAAGATATTTTCCACCCTTATTTTTGATTTGATTGAAACAGAGACTAAGTTCGATGAGTGTCTGTGTGAAAAAGTGTAAATGTGTGTATGAGATAGTTGACAGGAAAATGAGATTTACTGTGTTTTTTCGTAATGCATCAGCAACATACTGTGCTCCCTTATCTCCAACGTGATTGACACCGAGATCAAATGTGGTGAGTGTCTGTATGACAAAATGTGAATATTTGTATAAGATAGTTGAAGAGAGAAGGAGGTTTACTGTATTGCTTCTTAATGCATCAGCAAGATGTTGTGCTCCTTTGTATCCGATTTGATTACCACTGACATCAAGTGTTGTGAGTGTCTGCGAGAAAAAGTGTCTATAAGATACTTGAAGAGATAATGAGACTTACTGTGTTGTTTCTTAATAAATCAGCAATATGTTGTGCTCCTATGTGTCTGAGGTGATTTTCGCGGAGATCAAGTTCGATGAGTGTCTGTGTGGAAAGTGTAAATATCTGTACGACACATTTGAAGCGAGAATACGATTTACTGTATTGTTTCTTAGCGAATCAGCAAGATGTTGTGCTCCCTTCTCTCCGATTTCATTTTCAACTAGATCAAGTGTGATGAGTGTCTGTGTGAAAGAATATAAATGTGCGTATGAGATAGTTGAAGAGAGAATGAAATTTACTGTGTTATTCCTTAACGACCCAGCAAGATGTTGTGCACCCGTGTCCCCGATTTCATTATTGTGGAGATGAATTGTAATAAGTGTCTACGTGGAAAAGTGTAAATATGTTAATGAGATAGTTTAAGAGAGAATGAGATTTACTGTGTTATTTCTCAATGAATCAGCAAGATATTGTGCTCCCTTCTCTCCGATTCGATTGTAGTGGAGATGAAGTGTGGTGAGTGTCTGTGTGGAAAGAAAGTGTAAATGTTTGTATGAAGCAGTTGCAGAGAGAATGAGATTTACTGTGTTGTTTCTTAATAAATGAGCTAGATATTATGCTCCCTCCTCTCCGATTTCATTGCCACCGAGATCAAGTTGGACGAGTGTCTGTAGGAAAAAGTGTAATTGTTTCTATGAAATAGTTGAAAAGAGAGTGATATTTACTGTATTGTTGGTTAATGAATCAGCAACATATTGTGCTCCAATGGGCCCAAGTTGATTGTATGAGAGAGTAAGTGTTGTAAATGTCTATGTGAAAAAGTGTGTATAAGATAGTTAGATAGAGACTGAGATCTACTGCGTTGTTTCTTAATAAATCAGCAAAATGTTGTGCTCCCTTCTCTCCCGTTTTATTGCCGTACAGATTAAGTTCGATGAGTGTCTGTGTGAAAAAGTGTAAATATTTGTATGAGATAGTTCAGGAAAAAATGAGACTAACTGTATTGTTTCTTAATGAATCAGTAAAGTGTTGTGCTCCCTCATCGTCGATTTGATTGCTACCGACATCAAGTATGGTGAGCGTCTGCGTGAAAGAGTGTAAATATGTGTATAAGATAGTTAAATACAAAATGAGATTTACTGTATTGTTCTTTAATGAATCAGCAAGAGATTGTGCTCCGTTCAGTTCGATTTCATTGCCTTTGAGATTAAGCGTTGTTAATGTCTGTGTGAAAAAATGTAAATGTGTATATGAGATAGTTGAAGAGAAAGTGAGTCTTACTCTATTGTTTTTTAATGAATCAGCAAGATGTTGCGTAGCGCCGTCTCCGATTCGACTGCCACTGAGATTAAGTGTAGTGAGTGTCTGTGTGACGAAGTGTGTATGAGATAGTTGAAGGGTGAATGAGATCTACTGTGTTTTTTCTTAACAAATCAGCAGGGTGTTGTGTCCCTTTGTGTTCGATTTCATTGCCACTGAGATCAAGTTTTTTCAATGTCTGTGTGGAAAACTGTAAATGTGTATATGAGATAGTTGACAATAGAATTAGATTTACTGTATTGTTCCTCAATGAATCAGCAAGATATTGTGCTCCTTCGACTCTGATTTCATTGTTGTGGAGATCAATTGTAGTAAGTGTCTGTGAGAGAATTTATGTGTGTATGATGTAGTTGAAGAGAAAATGACACTTACTGTGTTATTTCTTAATGAATCAGCAAGATATTGTGCTCCTTTGTCTCCAATTTTATTGTAATTGAGATTAAGTGTGATGAGTGTCTGTGGAAGAAATTCTATGTGTATAAAATAATTGAAGAGAAAACAAGATTTACTGTGTTGTTGGTTAATAAATCAGCAAGATATTCTGCACCCGTGTCTCCGATTTTATTGTCGCCGAGATCAAGTGTTGTAAGTGTCTGTGTAAAGTAGTGTAAATGTTTGTCTGAGATAGTTGAAGAGATAATAATATTTACTGTATTGCTTATTAATGAATCAGCAAGATATTGTGCTCCCTTATCTCCAATTGTATTCCTTGAGAGATCAAGTGTGGTGACTGCCTGTGTGAAAAAGTGTGAATGAGATAGTTTAAGAGAAAATAATATTTACTATATTGTTTTTTAATGCATCAGCAAGATGTTGTGCTCCCTTTTCTCCGATGTGATTGCATGTGAGATCAAGTATGGTGAGTGTCTGTGTAAAAAAGTGTAAATATTTGTATGAGATAGTTGTAGATAAATGCGATTTACTGTGTTGCTTCTTAATGAATCAGCAAGATGTTGTGCTCCTTTGTCTCCGATATCATTGTTGAAGAGATTAAGTGTGGCGAGAGTCTGTATGGAAAAGTGTAAATATTTGTATGACATAGTTGACGAGAAAATAAAATTTACTGTATTGTTTTTTAATGCATCAGCAAGATGTTGTGCTCCTTTTTCTCCGATTTTATTGCTATAGGGATTATGTGTGGGTGGGTACGATTACTCTTCTGATCGAGATGTATAGTTGCATTCATATTCTCGTTGTCTCATTAACAGAATGATGAATTTATTGGTTTTATATGAATTTGGACAAAAGTACATGAAAGTCGTTAATGCTATATCCGAAATTCAGTTGAGACAGTACAATATTATAGTATGTGTACGGTTTCAAAATGCGAATGTTTATTTTGACTCTGTTTAATTCTTCTCTGATGATCCTATGTGTGAGAGGTAGCGTACTGCAGTTCTATTGCAATAATTATTAGGGAAAATAGAGAGAAGCGATGATTTTATTCCAAAAGATTACTTACTATTCTGGCTGACTAGGTTTCTCTAAATGGTTTTAAATTATTTAATTATGTTGTTTCCTAATCAATTCATCGAATGACAGTTGCGTATAGAAACCAGATAGAAGACTTACTTGGTATCGCGGATAACTATGAAGGATTTGATTGAATCGTTGGCAGACATTTTGCATTGAGCAAAACAAAGTAAAATCGGTTTCATAATCCAGAATTCGATAAACGAGCTCGACTGGTAATGTAAGAAATGTGCACATGGTTTTGTTAGATTTTGACGAAGACTCTTAAAATATGTTATGTGATATCGCTTTTATAGTACGTATTCTTGAAAGTATTTTTGTATGCTTCGATAATAGTGGTTTGATAATGATACAATCATCTGGTCGTTAAAAGGATAGACTAGTGATAATTTAAATAATAAATTATTACTTTTATCCAAAAAGATGGCGTTAATGTATATGTTTGGTAAGAAAATAGTATATACAATGTGGATGAGTATTTTTTTAGTCACTTTTGTATGATGAAGAGTGTCTAAATAAGAATAGATAGTTAACTTTTTCAACAATACTTTTTCACACTTGACTTGATGATATATTGAACTAAAGAATGTTGAGTCTGTGGATAGATGTGTTCTATTTTTATCTCAACCATATCTTACAGATCATAAACAATTCAGAGTGGGGTGGGCAAGTACAATCTTTTATGAAACAATGTTCTAATGCATTAAATTTATATCAACTTTCAGTATTACAATTATCAACAAAAAGTACTGAAATTATAGCTATCACAATCTATACAACTACATAAATCAATTGAATTCATACCAAAAAATAGATCATTTCCAACGAGAACAGTTGGAAGTTAGATTGGTGTGTGTGTATCTGAAGCATGTTTAATGCTCAATACATGGAGGCAATATCTAATGAATCATTTCATAATTGGAGTCAACTAAATTTATTAATGTTTGATGATGGATATTATACTGTAGAATTTCCAAATGAACAAACTCTTCAATGCTGTCCTATTTGCTCAAATGCAAAACAAATAACAAAATGTACGAATAAACTTTTCTTCATTATCTTCTTTTTCTTTTTAAATAAAAACAACAAATCACAGGTAAAAAAATCAACTGAACATATTTTAGAAGTCTTTATATATATTTATAAGAAATCCATAAAAATCATGCAACACTTTTATCAGTAAGACAAGAAAAACAATACGTTCAATCTATTGCATCACAATATATAGTAAAATAAATATCTGAGAAGTCTTTATTTTCTTTTTTTGCTTCACTAAAACATTCTTCATTTTAATCTAGACGTCGTAAATTTTTTAAAGCACATTTAGCTGCTGCTTTTGTTGCTATACGATAATTTCTATCAACACCTTTAAAACGTCCTTTACCAATTATTTCAACTATAATACGTATACGTCCATCAAGTAAACGTTCGGGGTTTTCAATAAAAGGTTTTAACATTGGATAATAAATTTTCTATACAGTATTAAACGATTTATTTGAATCAAGAAATTTTTGTTTGTTCCCATTCATCAAGCTCATTTATTGTATCATCATATAAATTATATTCATCAAAACCACACCATGATGATTTGTCTTTTTGTGTTTGAATAAATTTATCAATTAATAAAAATAATTCATTGGAATGACAACGAAAATATTTATGAAAATCATATTTAACAACTAAATATGCAAATATATTATTATTGACTAAAGCAGAACGAAGATCTGTTAATTCACCGGGTAAATGACGTTTTAGATGCTTAAATATTAAAAAAAAGATGAATTGACTAACTTCATAGAAATAACGAGTGATAATATAATCAAGTACAGCATCATCAAGAAATTCTAAAAGTTGATAACAATCTGTTATTGTATTATAAGAATATAAGGCATGGGTCAACTGGTGAGGATAATGGTGAAAGTTCACCGGTCATTTATGTTCCATCGTCTAAAAAGAATATTTACGATTAAATGTTTTTGTTTTTGTAAATCTAATATTAATTCTTTTATCTGTAAATAAAGTCCTATACAAGGTAAATGTAATAACTCTAACTATGAATGAAACTATTTAATTAATTGAAATTCTACTAATAGATGAGAAGGATATATTGGGGTGTGTGGGTGTGGGTGTGGGTGTGAGTGGATCTTGCGTTCTTCTCTTACTCACCCACACCCACCCTCAGGTTTCACACTTAAGACGCAAGTAGTGCTCGAGTATTAACTCGCTTACTTCTGTCTCATACAAATGGTATCTCTCCACATTTATTGAAAACAGAACCCCTGTGTTTTTCATCGCTCTCAATACGCATTCGCATGCTAATCAGTAGCACACGAAGATCGAGTCATGTTTCAGATTCTAATATCAATTTTTTCTTAGACAAACCTCCAACTAATAAGTACAGTATGGAAACCAACACAGATGAGAAAACAAACGATTTCGACTCTCTGCGAGGAATAGAACATCAAAATATCCACAGAAATGTTTTTTCTCCAAAACTCGATTTCTATTACTTTCACTTCTGAGTTGTCTGATTAAACAAACCTTAGATTCGGAGTCTCTCACTCCAAAAACCTTTTCATCAAGTTTTATAATGTATTATGTGCTTTTTCACGTTGGCTGTTTTTTCACCCAGACACCAACATACATACAACATACTTTATTTTATATGATCCTCCCTACAATCGAAGGAATAAAGCACAGTAATAAAATAAAATACAATAAAATGAAATACAATAAAACGAAATGAGATAAAATAAAAAAGTAAAAAAGCACAGTGCAATAAAATATAATAAGATAAAATAAAAAAAAGTAATAAAATAAAATGGAATGAGATAAAATAAAAAAAAGTCATAAATCTAGTCAACGATCTTTCTAGATTCTTGTTTTTCTTTACTTTCAAATAAGATTCCTGTATTAAGACAAGATTCTTTTCAAGAAGAAAGTAAAAAGAATCTTGTTTGGATTTCAAGATTCTTGTGTGATTAATCAGAAATGAAATAATCAGGCAAGAACTATAAGATATTCAAGATATGTATAAAGTTCAGGCAAGAATCTTTTTTTTTCTTTAAAAAGAATCTTGTTTGCAGTTCAAGAACAACAGAATCCTGTACGAGCACCATGAAGATAAAGAAACTAGAAAGAAATATAAAAAAATTTAAATTTCTTAGTATTAAGACAAGATTCTTATGATACGGAAGAAAAAGATTCTTGTCAGCTTTCCACGATCATCAACACGTGATGTAGTATTTGTTCGAACATATATATATGTATATAGGTGTTTGATCATTATTTATTCATGGTAAAGATCTTTTAACTAGCAGTTACACTTCGAACACATACTTTTTCTTAAGCGTTCGCTGCATTCAAACGATATCTAACAATTCTTTATTCCAATTAGATCTATAGTAAATATTTCTATTTATTACAAAGACAACAATGAAATGTATCATAATATTTTTTTCTAATTTCTCCGAAAACTTGACTTATCGAACGCATTCGATATGTGATTAATCAATATTTCTTTAATTTTTTAGATTTTCTTTTATCATCCATAAAAATATACTCAAATGGATGGAGGAAATCCTTATTCGTTCAAAATCATATTATTTGGAAATGCTCTTAGTAATATAGGTAATATATACATGCACATTTTATCGTTTTGTTTTACAGTTTTTTTTGTACATTGTATGTATGGTTGATAATAAAATCGTGCGAAAAACGTATTATTAATCTATATATATAAAGAAGAATGTTTGTCTATCCATTTGCTATGCGATCAGCCCCTATATTAGCAACGATCACCAAACTTTCCGTCGTACTTCGCTAGTTCAGAGAATGGTCGAGAGGGGATGGTACGACTATGCGGATCCAGAGAGGGGGGGGGGGCGGTTGGGTAAAGTATCACCCAGTTTATGAATATCAAAAATTCTCTGGCGCATTATAAGGAAAAGAATACGTATATGAGTGTTTTTCCTATCTCTTGAGTGCGAGTGAAGATGAGGATGAGGGAGCGAGTGAGTGGATGAGGGTGAGGGAGCGTGATGGCGAGGAAGCGGTTGATGGTGACGGAGTTAGTGGATAGGTGAATAGCAGTGAATGAATGAGTGAATGAGGGTAAGAATTGTAGTGCGTGTTGCTGAAAAACAACCGCACTCATGCTTTAAACCCTCACTTACACTAGTGGCGTATCTAAGGCCTGGCATTGTTTGCCAGGCCACCGAGAAACATTCTTACTAGGTACTTTATTTTTTTACTATATTATCGATGAATTTAAATAAGAATCGTAGGGCATTGCCAGGCCACCGGTCAAATCCTGGCTACGCCACTAACTTACACCTACACTCATTTTCTGATCTACCGAATATGTACTATCAAATTTTTTTGATAAATATCGGACGCTCCCGCTAGTAACCGATATAAAGCTTTTTTTGATATAGCAAGAAGGAAAGAATACAAGAATCTTGTTTAAAAGGCAAAGTCATATTTTTCAAGCAAGAATCTTGTATAGAAAGAATAGAGGAAGAATCTTGCCAGATACGGGGGGATAGCCAGGAGTTTTGCATGGCGGTGCACACCAATGAGCAAATACTTTTTGTCTTGTGATAAGGTTCTTTATCAGTACTCTCCTTCAGATATTTTTCTACCAAAGGGGGTGCACGGCATCTGTGCACCCCCTTTATCTCCGCCCCTCACCTGACAATCAAGAAAAATAAGAATCTCGTAAGATCGAAACAAAATCGTCGATTGGTGAAAATGAAATGCAATAAAATAAGATGAAATAAATTATAGCAATAAAATAAAATGCAACGAAATAGAGTAATAAATCAAAATGAAATAATGTAAAATAAAATAAAAGAATGCGACTGTTGATAAAGAAATACTTATACTAACATCACGCGCACCATCAATATTGCAGTAAATCACTTTGGATTGCTGACATATTTACTTCTCGAAGATTCCTTCTTACTAGCCTACGAAAGTATATATAAAGCATCAGCACGACTGCAGAAACATACAATAATCATACCTGCTTCAGTTCATTAGCAACTCCAACTTCAAACATTCAAGCACTAATATACAACAATGCACATTATTAATCAAATGGTTTGCCTGGCAATCTTCTTGATTCTGATGGCAACAAGCTGCATGGGACGCACGATGGAGGAGGGAGTCAATCAAGCTGCAGAGCCTAATGATGTTACTGGCCATTTAATCAACAACGGTGATCCTCGTGCTGTTTGTCCTCCTCTTTGTGTTCTTCTTGGTTGTAATCCTTGTAATATTATTAATTGTGTTCCTTGTGCTCTTCTTGGTTGTGCTGCTTGTAATCCTACTACTACAAGCACTACTACTCCAACTACTACAAGAATTACTACTAGAACTACCACTCCAACTACCACCCCAACTACTACCCCAACTACCACTCCAACTACTACTCCAACTACCACACCAACTACTACTCCAACTACTACTCCAACTACCACTCCAACTACCACTCCAACTACCACTCCAACTACTACCCCAACTACCACTCCAACTATTAGTCATTCAGTTGTCTAGTGTTCCTTCAATATGTACTCAACTCGAAACACTTGCTTAAAAGTGCTCAAAATGTTTGGAATCAATCTTACCACTCCATTTATTCGTTATTCATTTCTCGTGTGTTCCCTCAACATCTAATGAACTAGTGATCTTTGCTTCAAACTGAACAAAATATTACGAAACAATCTTGAGACTACTGAAACCACTATGAGTTATTCGTTTCTCGAGTGTTCATGGAGCATGTAAACAACTAGAGATCCTTTCTCCAAACTGAACAAAATATGACAAAAGAATGTTGCCAGTACTACAACTGTTATGAGTTATTCATTTCTCTTATATTCCTTGGTCATGTAATGAGCCCGATATCTGTGGTCAAGAGTGAACAAAGTATTTAAATAAAATCGTACTATGAATTAGTCGTTTGCCGCGTCTCCCTCGAAGACGTACTAAAGTTCAAATTTATACTTCGAACTGAACAAAATATTCAAATACAGTCTTCTTATGAGTTATTCATTTGTCGTGTTCCCTCGCCATGGCATGAACTGGAAATCACTGCTGCGAAGCGAACAAATTAATCGAAAAGAATCTTCCTCTCAATTATTCATTTGATGAGTATTTCTCCACTATGTAATTAGATTGAGATCTGTGTTCGGAAGAGGAGAAACTATTTGGACACAATCTTACTATGAATTATTCATTTGTTGTATGTTTCTGTGCCCTGTATTCAGTTCGAAATGTTTGTTTGGAACTGAATAAAATATCAGAAATGAATGCTTGTTTGAGATGTTCAATTGTCGTATGTTCATTCATCACGTAATGAACTCCAAATGTTTCCTAGCAACTGAACAAAGTATGTTACATGGTTGTTTGTTTGAAGAGCTCGATTATCGTGTGTTGCTGCACGATGTAATGAGTCCAAACTCTGTGCCTGGAATTGAAGAAAATACTTCAATAGAATCGTCCTATTAATTATTCATTTACTGTATGTTTTTTCACGATGTAAGGAACTCGGAATCTTTTCTTCGAACTGAACAAAGTATTTGAGCATAATATTGATATAAAGAATTCATTTCTCCGGTGTTCCTTTACTATGTAATGAACTCGAATTGTTTCATTGGAACAAAAAAAACTATCTGAACTGAATGTTTGTTTGACATGCTCGATTGTCCTGCGTTCGCTCACGATACAGTGAGCGTCAAATCTGTACTTTGTATTGAACACAATCTTAGAAAAGAATCTTACTATGAGTTACTCTTTTCTCTCACGTTCTGTCACCATGTGATGAAATCGAAATCCTTATTTTGAATTCGAGAATATATTGGAATAGAATCTTTCTATGAATTATGTATTTTTCGTGTGTTATTTGACCATGTAACGAAGCCTAAATGTTTGGTTGGAGTTGAAGCATATATTTGAATGGAATCTTTTTATGAATTATTCATTCGTTGTATGTTTTTCCGTTATGTAATGAACTCTAAATATTTGGTTCCAACTGAGCAATATATTCGAATAGAATCTTATGAATCATTCATTTGTTGTATGTTTCGCTATCATGTATTGAACTGGAAATATTTACTTGAAATGAAGTAACTAATTGAATAGTGTCTTTATATAAATTATTCATTTGTTGTATATTTCCCTATCATGTATTGAGCTGAAAATATTTTGTTCGCAATGAAGAAACTATTTGAATAGTGTCTTGGTATGAATTATTCATTTGCTGTATGTTTCCCTATCATGTATTGAACTGGAAATATTCTCTTCGAAATGAAGAAAATATTTCAATACCATCTTTCTATGAATTATCCATTTGTTGTATATTTCCCTATCATGCATTGACGTGGAAATATTCTCGTCGAAATGTGTAAAATATTTGAATACTGTCTTGATATGAATTATTCATTTGTTGTATGTGTCCCTATCATCTACGAAACTCGAAATGTTTGACTTGGATTGAACAAAACGCTTCAATAGAATCTTTATATAAAGTATTCGTTTGTTGTATGTTTCTCTCTCATGTATTCAGTTTGAGATGTTGTGTTTCGAACTGAATGAAATATCTGAAATGAATGTTTATTGGAGGTGCCCCATTGTTGTGTGTTCCACCCCCATAAAATAAATTGAAAATGCTTGGTTTAACCTGACCGAAACACCTGAATCGAATCTTAATATGAATTATTCATTTGATGTGTGTTCCTGCACCAAGGAATAAAGTCGAAATATTCTTTTCGAACTGACCTAAGTATCTGAAATGAATGTTTGTTTGAGGCGTTCAATTGTACTGCTTTTCGTGACCTTTTAATGAACACAAAGTTTTTCTCTTCAACTGAGTAAAATACTGGAATAGACTGTTCCTTTGTATTATTCCTTTGTTGTATCTTCCTGTACCACGTGAGGAACTCAAAATGTTTGATTCGAACTGAACAAAGTATTGGAATAGACTGTTATTTTGAATTATTTATTTGCTGTGTGTTCCTCCGGCATGTAACGATGTCGAAATGATTGATTCGAGCTGAAGAAAGTCTTTGAACACAACATTGATATAAAGAATTCATTTATCATGTGTTCCTTTACTATGTAATCAACTCGAAATCTTTGATACTAACTAAACATAGTATTTGAATAGACTGTTGGTTTGAACTATCTATTGGTTGTGCGTTCGTGTACCATGTAATGAACTCGAAATCTTTGGTTTAAACTGAACATAGTATTTGAACAGTATATTAATATAAAGTATTTATTTGTCGTATGTTCCTGCGCCATGCAATAAAGTCGAAATCTTCCTTTCGCACTCAACTGAGTATCTGAAATGAATGTTTGTTTGAGGTGTTCGATTGTTACGTATTTCGCGACCTTCGAGTGTACTCAAAAAATTTGTCTTCAACAGAGCAAAATACCTGAATAGACTGTTTCTATGTATTACCCAAATGTTGTGTGTTCCTGTACTATGTCACGAACTCGAAGTGTTTGATTCGAACTGAACAAAGTATTTGAATCGAATGTTGCTTTGAATTATTTATTTGTTGTATGTTCCTCCGGCGTGCAATGAACTCTCAATGTTTCATTCGAACTGAGCAAAGTAGTTGAACACAATACTGGTATAAAGAATTCATTTCTCCTGTGTTCCTTTACTATGTAATGAACTCGAATTGTTTCATTGGAACGGAAACAAACTATCTGAACTGAATGTTTGTTTGACATGCTCGAATGTCCTGTGTTCGCACACGATATAATGAACGTGAAATCTGTGCTTTGCAGTGAAGACAATATTACAAAAGAACCTTCTTATGACTTACTCATTTGTCTCGCGCTCTGTCACCATGTGATGAAATCGAAATTCCTATTTTGAATTCGAGAATATATTGGAATAGAATCTTTTTCTGAATTATGTATTTTTCGTGTGTTATTTGACCATGTAACGAAGCCTAAATGTTTGGTTGGAGTTGAAGCATATATTTGAATGGAATCTTTTTATGAAGTATTCATTTGTTGTATGTTTCCCTATCGTGTATTGCACTGGAAATATTCTGTTCGAAATGAAGAAAATATTTTGGTAGTGTCTTGATATGAATTATTCATTTATTGTATGTTTCCCCATCATGTAATAAACTCAAAGTGTTTGGCTTGGACTGAACCAAATACTTCAATAGAATCTTTATATAATGAATTCATTTGTTGGTTGTTTCCTCATCTTGAATTGAATTGGAAATATTCTACTTGAAATGAAGAAACTATTTGAATAGTGTCTTGGTATGAATTATTCATTTGTTGTATGTTTCCCTATCATGTATTGAACTAGAAATATTCTCTTCGAAGTGAAGAAAATATTTGAATACTGTCTTAGTAGGAATTATTCATTTATTGTATGTTTCCCTATCATGTATTGAACTGGATATATTCTCTTCGAAATGAAGAAAATATTTGAATACTGTCTTAGTAGGAATTATTCATTTGTTGTATGTTTCTCTATCATGTAGTAAGTTCGAAATGGTTGGCCTGGACTGAACCAAATACTTCAATAGAATCTTTATATAATGAATTCATTTGTTGGTTGTTTCCCCGCCATTTATTGTACTGAAAATATTTCCTTTGAAATGAAGAAAATATTTGGATACTGTCTTCCTGTAAATTATTCATTTGTTGTATGTTTCCCTATCATGTATTGAACTGGAAATATTCTGCTTAGTGTGAAGACAATATTTGGGTGGTGTCTTAATAGGAATTATTCATTTGTTGTATGTTTCCCTATCATGTATTGTACTGGAAATATGCTCTTCGAAATGAAGAAAATATTTGAATACTGTCTTCCTGTAAACTATTCATTTGTTGTATGTTTCGCTATCATGTATTGAACTGGAAATGTTCTACTTGAAACGAAGAAAATACTTGAGTACTGTCTTGATATGAATTATTCATTGGTTGTATGTTTCCCTATCATGTATTGAACTGGAAGTATTGTGTTCGCAATGAAGTGACTATTTAAATAGTGTCTTTATATGAATTGTTCATCTGTTGTATGTTTTCCTGTCATGTATTGCACTGGAAATATTCTCTTCGAAATGAAGAAAATATTTTGGTAGTGTCTTTATATGAATTATTTATTGGTTGTATGTTTCCCTATCATGTAGTGAACTCGAAATGTTTGGCTTGGACTGAAGCAAATACTTCAATAGAATCTTTATATAATGAATTCATTTGTTGGTTGTTTCTCTATCATGTATTGAACTGCAAATATTTCTTTTGTAGTGATCAATATATTTGAATACTGTTTTAATAGGATTTATTCATTTGTTGTATGTTTTCTTATCATGTATCGAACTGGAAATATTTTGTTCGAAATGAGGAAAATATGTGAATACTGTCTTACTAGGAATTATTCATTTGTTGTATGTTTCCCTGTCATTTATTGAATCAGAAATATTCTCTTCGAAGGGAAGAAGATATTTGGGTAGTGTCTTAATAGGAATTATTCATTGTTTGTATGTTTCCCTAGCATCTATTGAACT